CGACAAAACCTGTAGTATTTGATATTACTACCCACAGGCGGTTTCGAAGTGTCGTTCATCCATAAAAATCGTGTTGCGTCTCTGTGTTCTTTTGGTAGTTGAATCTGCAGGAAGGCTTTTTGGATGTCAGCCACCATGGCGTTGTCGTAAGTTCTGAATTTCAGTAGGATGTCGAAGATGCAGGAGGTTAGGGAGTACCCTTGATGGATGACGTCATTTAGGCTCAGCTCTCCTTTAGCGTGTGATGATGCATCGAACACAATCCTGAGTTGAGTGGTTTTTCCTGGGGTCCAAACATGACGATGCGGCAAGTAGAACGTTGTTATGCCACATGCTTCATGTTCTTGTACTTCCTCGATTATTCCTTGTTGACTGTAATCTTGCAGAGCCGCACTATACAAGCTCATCTTTTCTGAGTCGTTCTGCAAGAGGCGAATCAACGCTTGAAGGCGTTTGACTGCAACATTGAAATTGTTTTTCAGCTTGGAGACGTTGTCCAGGAACGGAAATCCGGCTGTGATTCTACCGTTTCCAATCGAGATCGTACTTCTATATTTTTCCATAAATTGTAGAACGGCTTCTTCATCGCTGTCTTTGTCAACTTTGATGCCGAGGGATTCAAGTTCATACAGATTCTTGATGTCTTGCTTGTACTCCTCCTTGGCGTTGTTGATTACGGGGGTAGCGACGAGAATCGTAGTGGAGTGAATGGAAGTGTCGGTTCCGTTAATTGAACTTTTTCCGGAGATTGCATAGCCAAATACCGTTGGTGTGAGAATCAGACCCGATGGTAATGTTATGCAACAGCGATCCCGCAGAATGAAGTTGTCGATGAGATCCTGTCCAATAAGAATGTCTGGAGTGACTATTTTGTCGTCAAGAGTAGTTTGGGCTACTTTGATTTTCTCCCTTCGAATGAATCTTCTGTCGTTAACACTTAATTTCGCTGTGTTCATCGCAGAGGTCAGTGGCGTCTTCGTGTGTATAGCAATATTCTTTATTGCTTGTCCGCTTATGGAATTCTTTAGCGTGAGTGAAACTTCGTCGGAATTGAAGCTTTCGGCTTTTCCTCCAAATCCGCTGACAGTGAAGTCCGAAGTCCCGATAACGGGGAGTTGCAGATCGACGCTTTTCTCAGTTGTGATGAAGCTTTTCTGTGCTCCTGTATCAAAGAATATTGTGACAGTCTCGTAGTCCATTGTATTGGAATTGAATGCCAGAGCTGTCGCCGTCATCAGCACGTATTGTTTCTTCTCCATTTCGGGGCGGCAGATAATTTCAGCGTTTTGTGAGGTTTTTGTTCTGCCTGGTCGTTTTATGTCATTGAATCGCGGCTGTGTCGTTGGTGTAGCCGACGAATTCGTTGGAAAGCGGTCGGCCGTGCAGAGTGCAGAATGATGATCCTTGCTGCATTTGGGGCAGGGTCCCAATGTCTTACACTCGCTTGAGCGGTGGCTTTGGTCGAAACACTTCCAGCACACTTTTCTCTTAGCTGCTTCACTTCGACGTACATCTGGAGTCCTTAGAGTTGGACATTGTGAGACAGAGTGAGTCGTACTTCCACAAAGGCAACGAGATTGTGTTCCATTTCTTGCATGTATCCTACTCGATTGCTCAAATCGCTGAGGTCGCTTCTGCAATTCCTTGTTGAAATTTGAACGGTTGCTTTGGCTGAAGGTCACGCGTTCTTGGAATGTGTCCGTTGAAAGGGCGATTGTTTCCTTGAGAGCTACCGCACTTTCCAGGATGTCTAGTATTCCCTCGGTAGAAACCGGTTTGTCTTCATTTTGCTCTTTGCTGAACACCTTTTCGCTCAGTGATGCTGGGAATTTTGAGAGTATCAAGCGTCTCCACATTCGTCCATTGTCCAAGGTGACTCCCGCACACTCAATGTGAGTGAGTTTCTCAGTCACATCGGTTAGCATTTTTCGGCAGCTACTGGCGTCTTCCTTTGCTCGCGGAAGTTTTTCGAGTTCCGTGATGAGAAGATCAGCTATGCATCCGGACTTGTTGTATCTCTTGTCGAGGAGTTTTACAGCCTTGTCGTAATTTTTCCCTATCACAGGAATATTTCCAAGCATAGAAGCAGCAGATCCTTTTAGTGCTTGCCTCAAAAATAGGAACTTATCAGTGTCGGTAAGCTGTGCGTTGCTGTGTATAAGCGAATTGAAGATCGTCCAAAACGTCGGATAGTCTTTGTAGCCTCCGCTAAACGATGGGACTTCAAGCACTGGTAATCGGACTTTGTTTTCAGTGAGTTGTCTTGTGGATAGACAACTATCCGTATCAGTGTCCGGTACTGATGTTCGCGTCGAGGACGATGCTAAAGCGTGAATCAGGCTTGACTGTTTTTCCAGTTCCCTCGTCCGATATTTCAACTTATTTAACCAGTTGATAGCTTCCATCTGCACTTTATTTGCCTCAGTAGAAAGAAATGCATCCAGATCGGTCATAAGCCTTTCTCTTTCTGATTGGTCTTTTCTTAGTCCGAGAAAATTCATAGCGTTTTGGATTTGTGCTTCCAGGTATTCCGAGAAGCCTTTTAGAGAGATTTCTGCTTCTTCAATTTCTGTCATTTTATCCATGACGAAGGCATTGCATTCCGATGCCGTTGTTGGAAAGTTGAAGGCTTGATCTATCTCTCTGATTTTGTTCTGGAGGCTGCTAACTGAAGAGCAAGCCACTGAGATGCGTGTTTTGAATCCTGCGAGCTCAGTCATTGTTTGTCTGGTGCGCATGGACTTCTATCGCTTACGGCTCTCGCTGGCTGCGTGCTTTGGCACTGCAGGTATTTGTTTGTAGTAGAAGTTCTGGCTGGGTACTTAGTACTCGCAGCTGTCGAGAACTGTGGAGGTTGGCTGGGCCTGGACCTCTATGGGATTTTTCCTTGCTGGGTGCAAGAAAACTAGTCACTAGTGAGCTTAGCAGTGGAGTGCGTAGCTTTTTCTAGTTACTTAGCAAGCGTGCCGTTAGCTTGAACGCTGTGCTGACTGGTAGGTTTGGACCTTGCCCAGTATAGGATTGAGAAATCCTTGAAGTTCAACAGTTCTTGAATGAACTATGAGACTTCTGACCGCAAAAACTGTTCCGCTCTCTGGTTCCTTACGAAAAGGACGCGCAAGAGAGTTTCACTAGAATTTGGGTGTTTTCACAAAAAATTTCTTCCCACTTCCTGGTTCCTTACGAAAAGGACGCGCTAGGAAAGTTTTCAGAAAATTCTGTGGTTAGCTACTGTTGACTGACGCCTTTACGGCCCTCTGGTCTCTTACGAAAAGAGCGCGCAAAGAGGGTTTTCAATTTGTCAAGTAGCTAAAGTACCGACTGTTTTCTTTACTACCCACTGGTCTCTTACGAAAAGAGCGCGCAAGTGGGGTTCAATATACAGTGGTTAATACCGGCTGTTTTCTTTACTATCCACTGGTCTCTTACGAAAAGAGCGCGCAAGTGGGGTTCAATATTCAGTGGTAAATACCGGCTGTTTTCTTTACTACCCACTGGTCTCTTACGAAAAGAGCGCGCAAGTGGGGTTCAATATTCAGTGGTAAATGATCACCAACTAACGTCTTTACTAGCCTCTGGTCTCTGACGAACAGAGCGCGCAAGAGGTTTTCGATTAATTAGTGGTATATGATCCTGCCACGCGGGACTTTATCAGCTTCCTGGGTAGCAAACGCCAGAAAGTGATCCGTAGGCCGATGCACCAATTTGGTGTTAACCAATATTGGATGCCACTACGTTGAAGGAATTGTTTATTCGGGAAACAATTCCAGTGGAATATAGATTTGGCGAGACGAGTCCAGAAGTGAGCATCCAGGTCTATTTATGCCACTATTTTGGGCGTGGCAACCTAGATGCTTCCTTCTGGCAAACAATAGTATCATACAGGTATCACTCGAAAATTATTGATGCTTACATGAAAGTAGTAGCCGCCAAGTGTGCTATCAAGCAGCAATGGGGGGTGACCTTGGCGGCTTAAGTGTTCCACGCTAGGATGGTTTGTCAACGACAAGAATAATATACAATGTAAAATAGTGGTCGATAATTATTCTATTATTATCGACAAAGAGAACATGGATCTTTAGTTTTATTTGTTTGCCGATATTTGCGGACCAGCTGACTGGTACAAATGTTTAAATGTGTGTTGTATGTGTTTAATGTCGTATCTTATTTTCCAATATATGTAACTTATTTCTACGATGGCACATCACATTATGTGATGTAACAAATGAATAAATCAATAAATAAATGAGAACTCTAGTCACTATAGGAATTCTCAGTCTAATTCTGGTCGCCTTTCTCGATTTTAACGACTTTTTGCAGATTTTGAACCGAGATTTAGGTGGAAAGTGAACAGCTGACAGGAGAAACTAAAGCTTGGATACCTTTAAGGGCAACAAATGATATCTGAGTTGTGTAACAGAGCTAATGTACTGCGAAAAGGTGCATGCATTGATCACCATGATGATATCTGCAAAGCACAAAGTTCATGAAGATAATATTCCTCAGGCGGTTCAAAGGAGAACACTTCTTAACTATCAGTAAAATTTGACATTTTCGCACATCAGAGTATCCATGTCTTTCAGATCGTTTTTGAGAAACTCTTGGCTTTAATTGGCTCAGCACTTCATAGCTGTTCTTACCTAACCCTACGGTAGTGAAAAGCGATGGGTGATTTGTTTCTCAAAATGACTCTGAATTGAAGCCAGCCCTATAATATGTTACCTAAAAGTTTGCGAAAGCGATATGGTTTTCAGCGATCAAGCATTCGCTGCATTTAAGAATATTCTAAATGTAATACATGAAGTACACTCTGCTTATATACTAATACATATACTAATAAATCATATTGATATACCTGCATGATCTACCATTGGTACGCAAATCAACTATCTACATTTGTGGGGAATCCACAAGTGGATTTCAGCTCCTAAATTCATTTTACTGTTGCCATCAGTAATGACTGAAACTTTTACTGAACACGAATATCAGTAAACTCTGTGTTTATCGAAGAATGACACAATGTTCAGCATGATTCTTATCGTGGGCAGCGTACAGCCTTCATGCAAGAACCTCCCGCCGTGCGAACATAGCCGGCTATACATCTGCATCCAGGTGGGCCGCATCTTGGGGGACAGACCGGCTGAAAACTTTTAAGTAAAGCTCTAGTTGCAATCTAGCATTCGAAATAAGTCGACTAAAGTGTCATTTTAGTTTTCTTAATTGTTGTTTATATTATACCATGAAAAGAACGTTTTCTGCAAGCAACCAGATCATGAGTATGTTTATAACTTTGAAAAGCATGCTTAAGGAGCAGAAACCTAAGTTACGAAAACTACGAAACGTCGTCGCTAAAAATTTGTTCGCTTTGCGAACTCTTTCATAATGAAAGAGTACTTACACTCTTATTTGCGCAAGTGGGTTCACATTCTTTCGGCACGCCACACTGAGCAAAAACTTCGTTCGGTCCACATGCTGCAAATAAGTTTAAGCATAGAGTAAAAAAAGGAAGTCGTGAATGAGGAAATCCATTTAAAAAATTTTAGTTTCTGGTTGTGAGTAGCAAGTAAAGCTAATCGTATTCTATCATTCTTTAGCTTGAACTTGCAATGAACCAACCGCTTGCTCCACTGACAAGAATGACGGCAAGTATCTGAAATTTTGTGCAAAGGCTAAGGTAAACATATTGAATCTAAATATTAGGTCGTAAAGAAGTTTCCGGGCACTTGCGAAAATTTTTTTTTCAAATTGCTGTAACTTCAAGTAGATTGGTTATTTTTTGAAGCTACAAACTTCATTGCAAAGACAACTTTGTCCGCAATATTTGTCTTGCTGGCTTTTCAGCACCTCACTGCGATCCACCAGCATGCGCAGAAGGAGAGAAGATCGTCGCGAAAAGTGGCCTTGTGTAGGATTATCTCAGGCACGATGAAATGGAGAGCTCAAATGCTGCAGATTTATAGAGGTCTGCTGGAGCTGTTATAGAGACTATTCAAACTTTTGAGCGACCATATGCGAAAAAAGTTCTTCCAGAAAGTTTGAAGAATCGATCATTTTTTGCCCCTAAAAATGCACCATTCTTCGTAAGGTGACTTTGAATTCTTCTCGTTCTGCACAGGACGGACCAAATTTTTGATTACTACTAATTATGTTGGGTTAATACCTTACACATTTTTTGGACCCATTCGGGCGTGGCGATCCCCGCAGAAGCGACGCCAGCTGCGGAAAAAAGTTGCAGTCAGAGGCAAGTTCGACAGCTTGTAATTTCTGAGCGCAAATCGCGAAACTCGAGGGCAGCTGCTGGTCGGAAGTTCACAGGCTTTTCAGTCAGATCACCCATGATTTGGACGAAATTCTTTGAAATGCATGAAAAAAAGCCGTAGGAAGAAAATCTGTGAGATTTTTATAGTTGAAAAGACTTTTCTTCTTGATTTGCAGATCAAACATGTCTTGGCATCAATTAAAACCAGAAGTCGTATTGAAAACTTTAGGCTTCCCTCTACTGAACAGTATAAAAAATTTGGTGTCAAGGCCCGAACGAGCGCCGAAAAAATGCGTTTATAAATGAAATTCCCAAAAGTGCCTGAGAACTTCTTTTACAACTTAATAGGATCTTTGGCTACGTACAAGGAGCGATGTGTGGAGGGCCACGAACATTCGCATTCCTGAAACAGTCATCGTGAAAACAAGTTATAGTAGAGCCTACCTGTTAGAAAGTAGCAATATCATAAGCTCTGTCTATCTTTATAAACATATTGAAGACATGCGTAGTGCGACGAGAAGAACATAAATGCAAGATGGGATTTTAATATTCTGCTGGCCTGCAATTATGCGTTCATACTTGGTGGTTCTTCGCCGCTCAGGACAAAGCAAATGCGTTCAGATTTAGCGATTTTTTCCAACAGATAGGTTTTAACTCATTGAGGTTGTCACGCATTCAGATAAGAGTGAATCAAATGTCAAAAGACTGTTCATGTGGATTAGAGGTGATGAAAGCTTGAGGGCAAAATGGGACTCGTGATTGTGGAAAATCTCTCAATTTATCAAGATTCTCATAGCTTTCCATCTCTTATAGCTGCCAAAATCTGAGTGAATGCTCAACAAATCAAGCTTAATCGACATTGTTTGTTCACTAAGACACTTTACAATTGAATCCATATTCGATGCGAATGTTACCATATTTTTTTCATACACCCTCTGCATATCAATTCGAACAATCCAACCATATGCTTGCCTAATCTGGGGGACACCTCTAAGCAGAAATGCTTTGCTCTTTTTGGCATGCAGAGCTTTGCTTGAAGGGATATTGATTGTAACATATGATGGCACATTTGCATCATAATTTACCAAACATAAGCGCATATTTATCTTCCAATCATAAAAACGTTCGTTCTGTTGTCAATAAGAATTTCAGCGCAATTATTGCTATGTTTGATTTGCATATTGGGCAAGTAGCAACAAGAGGAAGATTTTGCTTCGGAACACAAGTGGCTGGCGGTCGTCGTGGAACAGATTATTTTGAGGAAAAGTACACAAGAATCACTCAAATTAGTATCAAGGGCACCAAAACAAATCGGAGCAAGTTGAACAAAACTTAGCCATAAACAACGGAAATATCCTGTGCCTGATTAAAGCAAGACAGTCGGTAAAAGAACTGTATTGTGCTGGCTTAATATGAACATTAATTACAATGTGGGGTTCGCCACTTCCAATATCATTCTCTTCTTTCGAAAAGCAGGAGAAACCTCAAATTGTTCCAAAATACAGATTCTTCCATATCAAAGCCCGCAATAACAGTTGAGAAAGCAATCTCATTTCCCTACGTTTTTCGTTTCTAAACCAACGAGTATTAGTTAATAAAATTTAAAAACACTTTTCCCAGAGTCAGTGTGGAATTCTAATAGAAAGTTGCAGCAAATCTCATACGAAAGGGACTAACGATCAAAGACTACTGAGTCGCACTGGCGCTTAACACAAAGATATACATCAGTATGGTCTCTTGAATACTCTAACATACCCGCTTTCCAAATCTGCGAAAGGTTTCTGTGCAAGAGTTTAAACTGAAACAAAAGGTTTTGCCCCGTCTGCAGGCAAATACGAGTAATCATGCATTTTTGCGGCATAATGTGTTTCAAAGCGCGAACACAAGGAAAACTACTGATATTCGCCATTTCAGTTGATCTATTTAGATAACATAAGAATATTAGGTACTTTTCCGTTATCCGGACCCATTTTTTCAAAGAGGGATATTTCTCCTGACCTTATACCATATTTGCTCCCAAATTCATAGGAAGGAGTGTCAACCTTCTCCCAAGTGCCAAAGAATTTAACGTGTCATCTACATGCTTAACAGGTCTTATCAAAGGTTTGTGTCGCACCACTTAGCGACGTAAGCTCAATATGTTTTTTATTAATGATGACCCATTTTCCACTGAACAATTTCAAAAATAAACATTGCTATAATGATAGCGTCATCCTGTTATCATTGAACAAATTAGACCTGCCCAGAATGGAGAAGTGCACTAGAATTCCATCATCCAAACCGTGAAACAAGCAGCAGCGAGATACTGCATTACCAGTTTCCAGAAAAGAGATCTTATGTACATCTTCTTGTCAAACGCTATTGCGACTCGGTATCTAACGACGATAAATTTTTAGGTTTGGGGGGAAGGGGGAGGGGTAACTCTATGCAAGCTAGCTCTATCGTAACTACGGAAGTAGGCAACATAATTAAATTCAATAAGTAACGATATAACAAAGTGTATGTGATTAGCCTGCTTTTACAAGATGACTTTTCGGTAATTTGCGCGATTTGGAGGTGATTCTGCTCTTTTGGCTGATGAAAACCTACTGCTCGATGAAAAGCCTTTCTTTATAAAGGAGTAGGCCTGATGAGAAAAGTTGAAGCAGTTGGCGGCAACTATGAAGTCGGATCAGCTTCTTATCATCTCTGAGTTTTTCGCATTCTGTAAAGCTTCGACCCATAGTCATTTCTCGATAACCGGGACGGTCCTGCGGCTGGATCAGCTGGTGTTCTCGGATCCTTGGACGTGTACTCAGTGGCCTACCCTAGAACGGTACTTGTTTGTCTCTAAACAGTGCAGAGGGTAACAGACTGCCATGAAATTCCAAGAACTCGCGGATTTCTTTAGTATTTCCATCTACGTACATCTTCAAGATCAGCTTTATGAAAAGGCACAGTTTCACGGAACAAGTTAGTAAACCAATTTCTGAAGGCCTTTCAAAGAACAGTACAAAGGCAAAATTTTGCAATTCTGCCTTTCAACGCATGGGGAGAGGCTTTTCACCATGCTGAACTGGGCTTTGCAGCTCAGAAAATTGAGGAAACGAGCTGTCTCCCAATATCCATCATCCGCATTTGCAGGAGAATGTGCGTAAGTATGGCAGGGTTCGGAACGAGGGGACGGTATCCGTAAGACTTCGGGAGCTTTTTCATGCTTTCTAGACGGGCTTTTTCGCTCCAGGCTTCACTGATAGATTAGTTGGAGGTCTATCCTTGCAATGAAATCCTTCCACCAACTTACTGGGACGCTGCCTCTTAAGACGAATCGAACGAAAGGTGAGATAAGATAAGATGACACAGCAAAGCTTATTCAAAGACTTTTCCCCGTCCCTCAGCCCAGTGACCTTGTGTGGACCACACGTCAGAACTCACACACGCCGCGTTTAAATTTGTCGCCTTACAACAACTCTCCACTGCCAAAGTGGCTGGCGACGGACTAGAGAGAGAATGGGCAAATACTCGATGCCATAAGTAAATTTGCCTAGGGCGTGCTGGCCGGAACCGCTTGGCAGAATTTTCGCGCAGACTGTGAATCGCGCCTGTTTCGTCTTGTATACTTCAATCGAACGGGGACGTCCGAATGAAAATCTCAAGAGATGAAGTGTTGATCATGCTCAGAAAATAGTTTTGTTGACATCCATTTTGAATAACATACCCAACCTTTGCAAAAATTAAGAATTTGGTTTTTCTTTTCAATTTTCAAATTTGTTGAAGAACGTCTCGTAAATGTGAAAATAATCGTTCATTTTCAAACTTCAGTGGCATCACAAGGTGCTGTATGTGATTAAAGAAAGGGCAGCAAGTTTGGACCTCGACCTGCGACTGAGTGGTCGGTTGAGACCCAGCTCAGCCGTGTCGCAATCATCAATAATGTGCAGGGTGTCCCGAAGAGACTCAGACAATTATGGCGAGCACCCGCCGACCACCTACGGGCGTCGCCACGCCCATCTCGAGGGCGCGCCGATAAGTGCGCGATAAGCGCCCGAAGATATCAGCGGATACCCCGATAATCGCTCGATATGCGCCAACAATGCCCGCGGATGCCCCGGTAAGCGCTCGTTGACTGCCGGCCAAGCGACCGATGTGTGCTAACGGGAATCCCTCCAAGCACCCGATACGTGTGCGATAGACACCCGTGGGTGGCCCGAAACGCGCCCGATACACTGTTGTTTTGCATGCCCGCAGGCAGTGACAAATTATACCCTCTCAGGCAGTAACAGAAAACCAAAAATAATTTTATTTGTAACGTTTATTACAAAGAAAAAGGCACATTCAAATTATGCAAAAGCACAAAAAATTGACAATCAAAGAACATCGTAAATCAATAGAATATTCAAAATATCTTCTTTCCAATCGAGTAGAACACAGTCGCGCAATCTCTTTACAGTTCCGGAGACGTCGAGTTCCCTCGACATTGAGATGCCTCACCATCCTCGATGGCTGCTTTCTTGCTCTGCTTCTGAAAATGGCACGTTATTATTGTAATCTGCTGCATAAATGAACTTACTTTTGCTGAAGTCCATCCCAAATCCACATCGAATGTGTACGACCGTATGTCACGCCTAAATAAAAAGGTTTAAGTTCTAAGAGAATGGTATATAATTCAACTTACAAAGCTTTCTGTAGCGCTGCAAACAAGTATCAGCTGCAACTGCTCCTCTGCGCGCGGAGCTTCTCGAATGCTTGTCGTCTTTCTGCCTCAGTAGAGCCGAGGCCATTGTATTACAGAACGTGGAGTCTGTAAGGTCCATTGCCTCGTCCGCTATCTCTTTTCGTCCATCCCAGGATTTTCGTCCAAACTCCAGGATCCAATTCGGGACAACCTAATATTTGATTTATTTATTTTTGGCCAGCTACATTTGCTCTTTGATCTACCTTGTCTTCGCAATGTTATCGCTATGGCTTTTCGAGCAGCTCAACAGCAACTCCAAATCTTTTTTGAATTTTATAAATTTTTCTCCTACTACTTTCAAAAAGCGCTAATGACTGTTATGTAGAGCCCTTCTTCGGTTACATTATATTAGGTTGTCCCGAAAGTTTTGTCGGTTTCTTTCACTAAAACCAACAGAACATAGATTCATGGACGATCTATGTATCATTTGATTCAGATTTTTATCCTCTTTCTTACAGCTTTACTTGGTCTCTGATCTGCCATGTCTTTGCGATGTTATCGCCATGGCTTTTTGAGCAGCTCAGCAGTAGCGCCAAATTTTTCCAGAATTTTAAAATTTTTTCTCCTGCTGTTTTCAAAGAACGCTAAAACTCTTATGTAGAACAAACCTTCGGCCACATTGTGCTTATTTTAGATTACATGGATCACGATTATCAAATCCTAAATAATTATTGATATAAGAAAAACCGCGGCTTTTTGATTACGTCTACCACGTTAGGTTACCGAAAACTCCAAAAAGCTGATTTTTCAAAGCAAGTCAAACTTGGTTATTTTGCATAAATAATGTTTATCAACGATCAAGTTTCAATTCGCAAAATTTTCGAAAACTTTCATGTTTTTGCCGCAGTTGAGTGTTTCATGACTTTGCCAAAAATCGAAACCTTCAAAGGAATAATAATAGTTAAAAACAGCAGATTAGGAATCTAAAAAAAATTACCTTGTAGTCCGAGAGTTGCTCTATTTGTGGCACACTCAAGCTTTTCCAAAACTTTGGAATGAAATTTTTAAAAATTATCCTAACTTTGAGTAAATAAAATTGACGGGTGAAGAATAGTGGCAATTATCAAGAAGAGCACACAGAGTTGTGGCTTGAAAATGTAACCATGAGAAAGAGAAGGAAAAGCTGCATCGGATGCACGTTAAAGCTCGTTCAGTCTTTATTGTGCGTGATTTTATAGCGGTTTGAAAAAACCGACAGAACTTTCGGGACAACCTAATACTTAGTTTAGATTACATGGGTCACGTTTATCAAGTCCTAAATAATTATTTATTTAAGAAAAACCACGGCTTTTTGATTACGTCTACCACGTAAAAATACCAAATTCCAAAAAGCTGATTTTTCAAAGCAAGTTAAACTTGGTTATGTTGCAAATGATGCTTGTTAGCAACCTCAATTTGCAAAAATTCCAAATGCTTTCATGGTTTTGCCGCAGTTGCGTGTTCCATGGTTTTGTCAGGAATCGAGACCTCTGAAAAAAGTAATTCTCTAAAGCTAGAAACAGCAATTTAGGAGAATCTAAAAATATTACCGTATAGCCTGAGAATTGTTCTACTTGTGCCATGCTTAGTCCTTTCCAAAACTTTGGAATAAAATTTTTAAAAATCAGCCTAACTTTGAGCAGATAAAAATGATCACCGTATAGCCCGAGAATTGTTCTACTTGTGCCATGCTTAGTCCTTTCCAAAACTTTGGAATGATTTTTAAAAATCAGCCTAACTTTGAGCAGATAAAAATGATTACCGTATAGCCCGAGAATTGTCCTACTTGTGCCATGCTTAGTCCTTTCCAAAACTTTGGAATGATTTTTAAAAATCAGCCTAACTTTGAGCAGATAAAAATGACGAGTGAAGATTTGTTGCAATTATCAAAAAAACCATACACGATCTTGGCTCGCAGATATAACCATAAGAAAGGGAAGAAAACTGCATCGAATGCATGTTGAAACTCATTCAGGTCTTCATTGTGCGTAGTTTTATAGTGGTTTGAAAAAAAACCAACAAAATTTTCGGGACAACCTAATATGTAGCAGAGATATTCACAGATTAGAGATAAGATGAGAAATGACTTTCAAAAGTACCTAATAGTGCTTCTTCGACGTGCTCCGGGAAATTTGATAGCTTCTCGTCCCAACCACTCCGCCGGTTCATCCTCATGGAGTACATCTGAATTGTTTGTGGTGGGTCGGTGTTCTAAAATTGCTTTTTGCTTTTCGAAAAGTACAAGTGAAAAGTGAACTTACTCTCGTAAGCAAATGTCTGTATAATGCGCCCATTCTTTGAAAATTTACATCCTACTTTCTTGGTTGCCATTTGGCAGCCAAGGTGTCTTCAACGTGCATTGCTTGAAAGGCGGCTTTGCTTCAATCGTTCATATGTTAGCGCAGTTGTTGAGATCCACATTTGTTGTTGTTGTCCGTATTGTCTCTTCTCGGTGAATTCGACTGTCCTCGCAAGGCGTAAGTGCGTCGCTCAATTAATTTCACCCTATAATAGATTACGGATCATTGATAGCGAGTATGAAATTAGATTCTTACAATAACCGGAGCGCGACATGGTCATAGCCCCACCAGTTTTTCTGCTCATTGTCCATATCGTCGAGTTTCGGCTTTGCTCGGTATGCTACGTCTGATTGTACGAATTCCTGAAATTAAAGTTAGCAGTCTATGGAAATAGCAAATTTCGCTTAACCTCAGCGCTGTTGAATGTTCCGTCCTATCGTCTGCAGATTAGATCCGCCGCCTTCCCCATATTTAGTATGCCCCTCGCCACGCAGTCGTAATAAGTGCTCGGGTCACAATTGCACATTTCCTCGTGGGGGGCCCTCATCGCGGAGACTTTTTTCGCGCACGTTCCCCGAATAAAGATGACAAGTGATAAAAGATAAACGATGACGAAAACTTACCATAAGCAAACGACTCTTTAACGTCAACGAATTCATTTGCGTGAGTGCTGGTTCAACGCCTTTTCCTAAAGCATAAACAAGAGCATGACCAATACTGTAACAATGTATGATAACTTACACAACGCAGGGGTTCCGCTTCTTCATTGGTTGCATCGTCGCGTAATCTTTGATTCAACTGACTTGGCTTCGAGAAGGTGGGACTTTGTGAGCTAATTAAGGCCGCCCGTGATGCACCTTCGTTTCATTCGCGCGAGTGCTCTCTAATCATTACTTAGCCTTAATTAGGTCACAAAGCCCCGCTTTTCCGAAGCCAAACGCCAGTTGAATCAAATGATGATACTGGGTCCTTGTAGGGAATTAGACTTAAACATTGCCATGAGACCCGAATACGCCGTTTTCAATCTGGAAAATTGGTAGAAAGGAAAGAAAGAAGTAGCGATTTCAAATCAAATATGAAATATGAGTTACTGTTATGCAGAAGAAAAACTGAAAGATAGAAGGTTTTGCAGAGTTCTATAAGAGACAATAATGACTAAGTCAGCATGACTAATCTACGATTTGCTATTCGCCTGAGTATCATGGATACTCACTATCAGAGTGGAAAGGCAAGAAAGCGGCCGAAAGCGCGCAAGCGGCGAGCACCATGAAATAAATGAAAACAGCATGATACTCATGCAAAAAGAGTAAGTGCGAATTTCTGATTTTTGATACACAGCCAAGTTGGTCAAGTGATGAATCATCGATCATGATGATCGGATTGGGTGAGATCACAGATCATCTATAGATGAATGAACAATGCCGTATTTCAAAATAAAGCAAGAGCTGTGCACTAGTGAAGTGCGTCTCCAACGTTTGATGGAACCTGAGTGGAACCTGAGAACTTGCGAAGTGGGCGTTATTTTGCGAAACAATCTAAGGAGCTGTAGTGCCGTTCTTGAGTCTGGTTGGAGGTTTGGGACCATATCGTGCAAACTCGCGAAAGGATCACTGCAGATATATTCTTCAAGAAGGATCGCGACGACAGAGTTAGTGGCTGGATTATATAAGAAAAGTAAAATTGATCCAAAGCAGCCGAGATCTTCCGTTGTTTTTCCATTATAATAGACGAGGTCTTGTTGGCTAATGTTTTCCCGTTTCCAGTACAGCCGTAAGAAGTACATGCCGTCTATTACCAGCGTGAAACTGCACGGGGACGTTTGTGGGAACAGGTATGGGTGCTCCGCAAAACGTACGACGGCTCTTCGCCAGACAGTTGAACACGCAATTTTGAAGGTCGAACACAGGTCAGCGTAAGTGAGCAGCCATAGTCAGAAGTCCATCTCGGGGTTCCGTAGAGTGCCTGTTAAGCCTTAAACATTTACCTAACTTTATCCTGGGTAAATTTCAAAATGATTCCCAAAGCCATATCTGCGACTCCTTTATACAATCGTACTTTTACATTCCACGTATTCCCATTAAGTTGTACTTCAAGTGGAGCACCACGCACTCTCGCAAGCTCGGAGTCGAAAACCTGCACAACTCATTTTTTTCTGTCTTAGTCCTAACCATCCCTCACCGAGTGAATAGGGTCTCCATCATCTTGTCCGCAGGATCCGGTATAGCCGGCTTCATCCCCTTCGACTATTTCGTCAAAATCAGCGGCTTCTTGCTCGCAAATTTCGGATATAGGAAAAACACATCAAGAAGAAATGTCGGCTAATCGCGCCGCAATGGGAGACCGCCAAACTCCGAATTGGTCCATCGAGTTGGAGAAAAGGTACGATTATCACACTTATTATTGGTAATGTTTTTCTTTTACCTCAAAAATGCAAATGTGCATCCTGCGGCAGTGGTTCTACGCGTGGATATAAATGCCGCAACAATCAAAGGTTGCTGCATTGAATGGCGCAACCCCTGTGAGTGTGGCTAGTAAGGAGGTCCTCGGGGTTTACCACTATTTACGTGAGTAATTCTGTTATGATTTGGGAGCAGTAATAGCTCCGTGCCAGGTCCGCTGCATTGTTCGATCGAGATCGAATGTAACAACTCTGGATCCTCAACCGGATAAACGGGATTGTTACTGTTTTTTTTGTGAGATTGTTAGACGCATTCGCAGTGAGGTTTATTATCAACATACAACATTACACGCAACAACAATATGTTGTCAACAGTTATCTACAGAAAATGCAACAGTATTAACAAACAACAGATTTACAATAACGACCGCGAATCCTCAGACACAGCCAAGTTGGGATCCCCTGAAGCGGGATTCCAAATTGGCTGTGTCTGAGGATTCGAGGTGAGCCTCCGATCAGCCAGTCTTTCGCATGCGATAGACGTCAACTCCAGGTGCTTATCCAGAACAGCGACCATCTTGTCTAGAGCGAGTGAAAATTTTGGTAAACAAAGCTTGTTCCTCCTGAAAAGTTAGCTGTACGCAATGAATGGCATCAGTAATGCACGTCCTTACCTTCAAAACCCCCATTTGCATTCGAGTGGTTTGAGTATACGACGTACGGAGCGCTTGCCGGATGGGCTGCTTCCGTTCCGTTCGGCATTCCGTTGTTTGAGATCACTCTCGTTGTGCCTTTCGAGAACAGACACGGAAGACCACAAAGAAACAGAGTCAAAAACATATTTACTTAACATATTCACTATACTGTATTCACTATACTGATTAGCAACCTTTTCAAATACTAGCCCATTGACTTTAAAAAAGAGCGTGCAATTGTGCAATGTATTGCGTGGGGACGGCGAAGCTCCTCCCTCCCCCTCCTCCCCCCCCCCGGTGCAAGCGGATGCATGGCTCGGATCACCACGCGGCGCCCCCACATGCAAGAGGATGCATGGCTCGGGTCACCAGGCTGCGCCCCCTCTCAACATTGAAATGCACAAATCTTTTAGCGCGCGTAAACAAAAACGAATAAAACGAAACAAAAATAGATGAACCACAAAGCTAAATATGTATCAAAAGCCAACCTTTGTCGACTGCAACTTTTCCGTCCAAATAACTGCCTCAATGGTCCCAATTCTTGATTCGTCGACCAGCGAGTGTATTGATACGGATTGCACCAAATCTGCAACGAAGAGCACTGTCCCGAGTACGAAAACAAGAGTAAAAAACGAAGGGCTCATGCAAAAAATAAATAAATGAAAACGAAAACGAACTAGAATCAAAAGATTTAGGGACTGAAAATGTCTTCATTTAGACGTGCATTTCGATCCTTTGCTGCATCTACGGACAGCGATCGGCACCACCACCCCGGACGTACTCGACCGCTAGTCATTTGTCGGCACCACCACCTCTTTGCGTCTCCAATGAAGACCTACTATTTCTCGACTGTCTGCGCGACGGGAATGCTGGTGCTGCCTTGTTTGTCGTGCCGGGGGCGTTGCCGCGGCGTTACGCCGGGCACATGCCTCGGTCACATCGCCTATCCCTTATCATAGGGCGGCAGCAAAAAGGCTTTGCCGGGCATTTGCCGCGCTCCGAGCGAGTCGTCACGACTCGATGAGGGTTTACCACTGACTCTGGCAAATCATTGTGTTCCAGATGGGGATCTGCATCCGAATCGGATTCGAATGCAGAGATCTCCATTTGTGTAAATTCGTCATGGTTTCTTGGTGGTTCTGTTGTTGATGTTCTACTCGCGTTTCCGCTTGGTGATGCCTTCCGATAATTCCCTCTCTGATCTCATTCATCTGCTGTTCAATCCATACTAGAAGAACGGGGACGATTACTATTAAGTGAAAAATTGAGTAAATCAGAAATTGCTAGCGTGTTCAAACATACATCCATATCCTCGCATTCCAATTCTATTGATGGGAGGTAGCGATGAAGGAATACTCTTTCTTGTGTTTGTTCTTGAAGGAATACTCTTTCTTGTTCATAGCTTATAGTTATAGTAGTTATGGTAACTGAATAAGCGAGTACTTCTTTTTACAACGAAAATTACGAAAGCTTGCAAACGAGTACAGTGAGATACAAATATAACTTGTGAATTTAAATGAAGACATAACTTTATGATCGCAAAGAAACAATAATAGATAAGGTAGGTCCGTTTCGTTCCTTCCCTTAGACGGATTACAATTGCAAAAAAAAACAATGAGCCTTTCTCGGAACTCATCAGTGAGGAAGAAAGGCTCAATAGTGAATGATTTTAACGAAGCTAAATACTGTTCAAACAAGAAAAAGATAGAGTAAACTTACAAAGCAAATAGTATAAGAGAACTGCGACATAAAGCGAATACGCAAATGAGCTGTTCTGAAACATATGCAATCGCGCAATAGAAACACCAACCACAAAGCCCACGTGGATTTGAAATATAGCGGCGTCCACTAAGGCCCGCTGCTTTACCGATCAAGGCCCGCGGCTTTACCGAAGTAAGATACGGGCTGTGCTCCAGTAGAATACTTAGATCCCGCGGCCCTTCCCTCGCGATAACGTTGCGCCGGGGGTCGCCTAAATAAATATAAGGCCGCGGATGATCAGTCCAGGAATTTAAGATCCGCGCACCGCCAAAAGTCAACGTTAGGAACCGTGGGTGCTCGCAATAATTGTCTGAGGATGTGCCCACTGTTTGATCCTTAAATTCTCTTGTTTTTATGTCTTTGGAGCTTGAGGTACCATTCTGTAGAGCGTGGTTCAACTTAGATTTGCAGTATGGAGCAAGTCATCAATCACTCATCACTACTGTAGCATCACGGTAGGAACTTCGGGAAGGATTTTTGAAAGTTGAAGGCGACATTTGCTTTAGAAAGAAAATCAAACAAGCCAGAAACTCTTGTACCGGACTAAGAAGATCGTTAATTCTAAATACATATAAATGCACTTCACTTTAATGCTTCTTTTATAGGTTACCTTTCGTTGAAAATGTGATACACTATTGAGAAAGCTCGAAAAATGGGTAAAATGTATGGTGAAAACAGCGCGCCTGAAAACCTTGCTACGCAAATTTCCAGACTTCCTGGACTTTTTTTCATCAAAAGGCCTATTCCACAGTGGCGCTGTATGCTGAAAGTTATACCGTAATGCTACAGTAATGAAGAATGATTGGAAATTGGCTCCATAAATATCTAAGTTGAACTTTGCTCTACAGAATGGTACATCCAGCTCGGCGAAACGTGAAAGGAAGAGAGTTATTAACGATCAAACAGAGTGCACGTTTTTTTGGGACACCTTGTAATGATATAAAAGTCCGTTTCGATTTCCCCACATCCTAAGATTGAGTGCCTGTTTTGCTCTGTCTATCGACAATTGGATCGATATTGTTGACCTACGCGGCCATGTTCGCTTTTTCTGCCACTATATCGTCCTTCTACTCTTCCCCTACCGCTGCACTCTTTTATTCACTTGTGTTTTTTTTTCAGTTGCTTGAATCCCTCTGTGTATTCTCGTTTGACAGGACCCTAGATGCCCCTTTTCTACTTCCGCAGTGGATCATCAATATTCCCTGACCCGCGCCTGAACTTTTGCTAATGGTACGCCGACATATTTGCCCCTCTCCCTCCCTTAGATACTATTATATCTTGATCCAATATTTCTGAAACTCTGTTCACCCGCTGGTTCTAATGGACAGAATGAAGAAAAGGAAAATCACTTACGATTTTTCCCCCATCGGATCTCAAGCTGCTCAGGAATTACTCAAGGAAGAAGCACTGCCTTTATACTGGATATATGAAGGAATCCAGAAAACAGTTTGATGGATGCAGAAAAATCGCGGATTAAGCGTGCAATTTCCACTATAGCTGAGCAAATAGATATTTCAATTAAGAGAAATAAATTGCATTTCGTCTTGACTCAACTAGAGTCCCCTTTCCCAGCTATATTTTTTGATGCTCATTTTGCTCAGGAAAAAGATGATACAGAAGGGTTTTTGAAATCAGAGAGTTAGCATCAACAAGAAAGTAAATCATGATTGCATGTGGTCTAACATTTTTTCGACTCTCGAAATCGAATGTAGCTTAACTGTGTATATCAGTTAGGTAGACCACAATCCTCGCATTAAAGGCTTCTCAAGGCGCTCCTCACAGGTGCGATAGTGTGAGAATTTTCTAATCCCCTTTCACCCCTGAGCCAGGACCAAGGTGACCGCCTTCACCAAAAGCCGAGAAGAAAAATCAACAGTGAGGTAAGGTAAGCAAAGGAGATATTTGTACGTGAATTGTTTATGTACAGGAAAGGAGGAGTCTGTTGAAAAAAGTGCTTGATGAGGGTGTGAGTAGTGATTTCTGAACATTTTCGTGCTTTTAACATAATAAAAAATAATAACTTTTGCAGATGAACATCTTTTACGCCGAGATGGTCACCGTTAGAACCGCCCCTTCCTCCTTTTTCAAATGGTATACAGTGTGTCTCAGATCCATCCAAAAAACTGCCTGGATGAAGGGTGTGCCCAGTGATTTCTGAAGATTTTTGAGTTTATAACATAAAAAATTCAAAACTTCTGTAGTTGAACATCTTGTACGCCCTGATGGTCACCATTGGAACCGCCTCGTCCTCCGCTTTCAGAAAATATATACTTTGCCAGAGGTCCATTAAAAAAAGTGCCGGGTGAAGGGTGGGCGAGACTTTTATAATGGGAGTGCTCAAGTATAGGCTGTATCATTCAGCATCGGTTCTGCGACATCG